CACTTACTTGCAGCAAGGGGGTAATCAGGTGCCCAGCCTTGCGCAATGACACCGTTGAAGACATACTGGCATATTTCCAGGAGGAGAGCGTCCCGGTCTCTGAGGTGAGGCGGATGGTGATCAGGAGAAATAATGAAACTCTCAACATAAACACCCTCATCATCACTTTTTCAACGCCAACACTTCCCAATATACTAACAATCGGATACCAGAGGTACAACGTTTCCGTCTACATCCCAAATCCATTGCGATGCCAAAACTGTCAGACGTACGGTCATCACGAAAAGCGATGTAGACGAAAATCGATCTGTCAGTATTGTGGCCGTGAGGGTCACACCGAGCAAAATGGCTGTGACATCGCCAACCTGCGCTGTATCACCTGTGAGGGTAAGCACGCTGCCTCTTCTCGCGACTGCCCTACCTGGAGCCAGGAGAGGGAGATATTACGGGTTAAATATACCCGAGGTGTCTCTTTCCCCGAGGCCAGGAGGATAGTCGGGAGTGCAGACATTGCTACACCCTCTTACGCACAGGTGACTCGAGGCAAGGTGCCGGTTGACAGTGTCACGGTCAAGGATGCTTCGGTGCAAGTTTCTGAAGACATACCTGCCTGGGGCTCGCAAGTCCCAGACATGGCTGGTCAACAGAACTTGAAAATCATCACGGGGGACCCATCCCGTTTCACGACTTTAACCAAACCAACCAAATCAACCAAACCAAACAACCTGTCAAAAGCAGCATCTTCATCAAAACAAGCAACACCATCAAAACAAGCAACAGCATCAAAAACACCTTCCTCTACAGGAGAAAACCCTCCATCTAGGGCACAGATGCGGTCGCAGCGATCTCGCTCACTCACATCTGTCCCTCGGTCCCAATTCAGGCAAGACGTAACATCACCTACCAACAGACCTAGGAAAAAAAATAAGAATAGCGAGGGGCAAATCCGATGGACCTGATCTGAATGTCATCTTTGGCAAAGGATCATAGGACCCGACAAACCGGTTCAATGTCCTTCTAGATTACGATGATGAGATGGAGACGATTGCTTAGCGCCTGGTGCTTCGACTCCATCGAAATCCAGCCAAAAAAGCAAAAGATGAATAATACAATTATCCAATGAACATCCGCGGATTAAAGGCAAATAAAGAAGAATTTCAGAATCTGTCAAAAGAATTTAGAGCCGCCATTTTTTGTCTACAAGAAATCATGCTCGAAAACCCAATCACGCTTAGAAACTTCTCACTCTACACTAACATTCCAACTGTAGTTAGCAGAGCAGCAGGTGGCGCAGCGGTAGCTGTCCATAAAAATATTCCTCACAGAATGATCAAGTTAAACACAAATTTACAGGCTGTTGCTGTCTGTGCAACATTACACAGGCAAATAACCGTCTGTTCAATTTATCTCCCTCCGAGTATTGTTTTCACTTGTGAGCAACTCAATAATCTCGTCTCCCAGCTCCCAATACATTCATAATCCTCGGTGATTTTAATGGTCATAATAGCCTGTGGGGCTCTCCCAACACAGACGAGAGAGGAAGACGTATTGAGGATTTTATAGATAGAAACAACTTGTGCCTTTTTAACAACAATACCCCTACTTATTTACACCCTGCTTCAGGCTCTCGTACCCACATTGATCTATCATTAGGTCATCCATCCATTTTACTTGACTATGACTGGAGGGTAAATGATGATCTTTGTGGGAGTGACCACTTCCCAATTTTTTCTTAAGAATATTGGGTCTCCTCTTGATGATCCTCTACATCGATGGAATATGCACAAAGCAGATTGGGCCCAATTCCATCACATGTGCATTGAAAAACTAACCATAGACAATTTTACTAACCTCGACGACCCTATCAAATCTTTTACTGAAACACTCACTTCTATTGCCCAAAAGGCAATTCCAAAATCCGCTCCAAAACCTACGAAGTTCCTTTTATCTGAAGAATCTTTTAAAACACGCAGTAATCGGGCAGTTGCTCTAAGACGCTGCTTCAATTGCCCAACTGCTTCAAACTACAGTGAATTTAAAATTTGGCGGGCAAAGGCTCGGACAATAATAATTGACAAAATAAGAAACAGCTGGAGAGAATATGTATCCAAGATATCATCAAACACGTCCTCAAAAAAAGTATGGGATATGATTCGGAAAATAAGTGGGAAAAAGAAAAAGGCAACATCCTCCCACCTCATTAATAAAAACAAAATTTTCTCGTCTATAACTGAAATTGCTGATGCATTTGCAAAAAACATAGCTAAAAACTCATCCCCTTTAAACCACTCCCAAAAATTCCAGTCTTTGAAAAAAAAGAGAGAAAAGAAACGGCTCAATTTCAAATCATCAAACAAAGAAAGTTATAATGAACAATTTACCCTACCAGAACTTGTTGATTCGCTTAGAAAATCACAGGACACTGCTTCAGGTCCTGATGATATTCCATATCAATTTCTAAAGCACTTACCGGACTCTTCACTAACATGCCTTCTTTACATATTCAACCAAGTTTACGCTTCCGGAAAGATTCCCGATTCGTGGAAGAACTCCACAATTATACCTATCCCAAAACCGGGAAAGGATGCTACTGACCCAAACAACTATCGTCCTATCTCTCTGACTAGTTGTGTATGTAAAACTTTGGAACGAATGATAAACACTAGACTGGTTTGGTTTCTTGAGGCCAACGATATAATATCCCCTCTTCAAAGTGGCTTTAGAAATAGAAGAGGGACAAATGACCATCTCATCAGATTAGAGACGTTCATTCGAGAGGCTTTCGCCAAGAAAGAACACCTTGTCGCTGTGTTCTTCGATCTTGAGAAGGCCTATGATACTACATGGCAGTATGGCATCATGAAAGATCTTCACGACCTTGGCGTACGTGGAAACCTTCCCAATTTTATATCTAATTACCTATCAGATAGACACTTCAAAGTCCGTGTTGGTTCAACTTTTTCTGAAACGTCTAAACAGGAAATGGGAGTCCCACAGGGTGGAATCCTATCAGTCACACTGTTTGGACTTAAAATAAATGATATAGTCAAATGTCTTGGTCAATCAACAGAAGGGTCGCTATTTGTGGATGACTTCTTGATCTGTTACAGATCTAAGAACATGCACACGATAGAACGACAACTTCAACAGAGTTTAAACAAACTACAAAATTGGGCAGACGAAAACGGCTTCAAATTCTCTAAATCCAAAACTGTGTGCATGCATTTCTGTCAAAAACGAAAAGCACACAATGACCCAAATCTAACACTCGATGGCACTAGAATTCCTGTTGTTGAACAGACTAAATTTCTCGGCCTCATTTTTGATTCGAAACTCTCTTTCATACCACATATAAAGTATCTGAAGGATAAGTGTTCCAAGGCGTTAAACATTATACGAGTCCTTTCTCATACTGATTGGGGAGCGGATCGTGAAATGCTTTTGCGCCTATACAGATCACTTATTCGAACAAAACTGGATTATGGTTCTATGGTATACGGGTCAGCGCGCAGTTCGTACCTTCAGATGCTAGATCCAATCCATAACCAAGGGCTACGTCTTGCCCTGGGAGCTTTTCGAACAACACCTGTAAAAAGCCTGTACGTGGAAGCAAATGAACCATCCCTTTATGACAGAAGAATAAAACTTTCATTACAATTTGCAACTCAATTAAAATCAAACCCTAAAAATCCTGCTTTCAACCAAGTATTCAACCCCAAATACCAAAACATATTTACGCAAAACCAAAAACTTCTGCCAACATTTGGTATCCGAATTTTGAATTTCCTGCAAGAACTCAACATAAAATTGACGGACATAGCTGAATTTAACATATCTGATGTTCCTCCGTGGACCATTCAAACCCCCGATTTTAACTTTACATTACATGAGCGAGGGAAATCAAGTGTTATGCCCGAAGAACACAAATCCTCCTTTCGGGAATGCATTTCGAATTACCCTTCTCATACACAACTTTACACCGATGGCTCCAAAGAAGGTGAGAAAGTGGCAGCAGCCTGCTGTACTGCCAATACTTGCACTTCACTCCGACTACCAAATGGCGCCTCCATCTTGTCTGCTGAAGCATGCGCCATTGGTTTGGCTCTCGACCATATCGATGAACACCGCATTAAAAGGCAGTTATTTGTTCAGACTCTCTATCTGTCCGACAGAGTTTACAGTTATGAGATCCTAAAAATACAATCGTACAAAACCTTGCTCTTCGAATATCTCGTATATTAAAAAAGTCTAAAATAACTTTACTATGGATTCCGAGCCATGTCGGAATAAAAGGCAACGAATTTGCTGACAGGGAAGCAAAAAATGCATTGAATCTCGAACAAACAAATATCAAACTACCATACACAGATTTTAAACCTACTATTCGTACAGCCATTCAAAATGAATGGCAGAAACGCTGGTCTCTGGAGACCAACAACAAACTTTTTAAGATACAACCGAAACTTAAAACATCTATTCCCAGTCGGAAAGATCGTAGAGAGGAAGTTGTCCTCGCTCGGCTCCGCACTGGGCACACATATCCTACTCATTCGTACCTTTTAAAACGAGAAGATATACCTTCATGCCACGCATGTGACACTCCATTTACAGTGGAGCATTTTTTAATAGAATGTTCCGATTTTAAACACATTCGTGATAACTACTTCCGAGTCCCGGATATGAAAACACTTTTCAGTTCCGTGGATTCGAAGGCATTATTTAACTATTTGAAAGACATCGGTCTATTTGATAGACTCTGATGTCTTTTAACCCACCTTATCATTTTTGACGTTATATATATACCGCATATTCCATATCATCTATTCGTTATCTCTTTTATTATTTTAACCCCCTTTTATTATTTTTTATTATCTACTCATAAAAGGCGAATACTTTTAAAAATGAACCATTTTATCTGATTTTATCTTCGCTATTCACATGTTTGTCAAAATTAGAAAAATAAATAAATAAATCACCATGGCCCTAAATGACCACAGCGTCGATGGGCCGTTAAACATAAACAACCAAACCAAATTTTTCATTTCACCTGTATTCAGGATTCCTGTCCGCCGCTTGCGACAAAACACTAGAGAACGCTCTTTTAGTGCTCCTTACCTGCAGTAACATCCCCTTAATGTTTTTGTTTTTTTTCCAGATTTTTTTTTAAAATGATGGTTTATACTGAAAACAAAGATTGGGTGAATGCTATAACAGTAGCATAGGAATCCGAAAATTCACTCCCTGAAATGATCCCCAGAACAATCTTTTAAGAACAGCATAAAATGACTATATGATTATTCCATGAAAGCTGTCGATTTAAATACAAGTCAAAAATAGCAGAAAACTGAATACATTTCTACTTTTCTTCTGTTGTTATTTTTTTAGGAGAATAAACAAGATTATATGTCAATACAGAAAACCACCTCTGTACGCCATCATGTTACTGTTGCGCAGGGATGCTAATAAATTGCCTTTTGTCCAACCACCTCTATACAAAAATGCAAAGGAATGAAGTGACGAAAATGTGTGGAACAAGCACCTTCAGCTTAACACTGTTATAAAAAAGACACCGGTTACGCGTTAAAACATTTCTTTTGTAATATGGAAATATCGTGTGGGGAATTTCTTTTCACTCAATCGGCGTCAGAAAAATACAACAGACGTGCCGGGTGAGATCCTTAACGGAGATATTGAAATATCAATTACCACGGTCACATAGAACTGTACCTGTCGCACTGAGCCACAAAATAAGACTATAACGACTGTGGTTACCGGTTACATAATTCCTTACCTGTTCGCTTACCTGTAGTCACTTACATGTGCGTCTACACACTCTGACATACCCTATACGCTACGTTCCATATACAATTATTTTTGAAATGACCCATGTATTTGCATGTCTGGGTCTCTGTCTCCACGCTTCGTTCTAGGTCTAGCCCAAAATGAGAAAGGTCTACTACAATTATATGTAACTGCAGTACACTTCTATTACTATGATACTTATGCCCCTCTGTACAACCACGCATTCAAAGGGGTCACACCCATCATCTATCACAAATAAAGACCCCATTTGCCTAAGGATACTCCAGGCAAAAATTCGTATAAAATCCCTCAAATGGTACATTAGGAGAAGGATTTTAAAGATTAAAACCTCAATTTCCCTTTGAGCCACGCCCCTCTGCACCCAAAGGGGCCACAACCACCGTTTATTCAAGATGAAGTCCTGTTTGTCTAAGGATGTTCCATACCAAATAAGGATACCCCGCCCCCTTATCACTACGGAAGAAGTAAGGTTTTAATGATTTTACCTCTATTTCCCATATTGGAGCCTGCCTCTCTCCACCCACCCAGGGGGCCCAAACTCAACATTTTAACAAGATTGAGTCCCCTTTGCGCAAGGATGATCCAGACCAAATTAAGATGAAATTCCATAAGCCCTATGGTAGAATATAATTGAAAGATTACACCTCTATTTCCCCTATGAGGGCCCACCCTCTTTTCCCAGAGGGGACCCCGTTTATACAAAATTGAGTTGTTCAGGACTTGTGGCATTTTGAAGGAAAACATGACAGACGGATGGACGACGGACGCTGCGGTATGGCATAACCTCACAATGGCCTTTCGGACCGGGTGAGCTAAAAATTGTAGTTCCAACAAGTTTGAAGTTTGTGCAGTAGTAAACAAGTCTAAATATACCACAACTCCCCAAAATTAATTTCAGTGTTCGTACTCATGACAACGGGCAATATGCCTACTCCTAACACGATTACTCACCCGGGTCAGGAAAGCGTTCAAAGGTGAGAAATCGTGTTGCGAACTGAATGAACAAACAAATGTATGAATGAATGAACAAATGAATGAAAATGATGTATGAAATAAAAAAAAAGTTGTTGTTTACATGTTTACAGATAAAGAGTGCTCCAAAAAACACGTGTTGGTTTTTCTGGTTTTCTCTCTTAAAATCAACTTGTTTGCTACATCGTGAAACAGAGGTTCTCCAATCACTCTTATCATCATCTACCTATTGGTTGTAGTTTACACACTCCACAGACACTAAAACTTATCTCAAAATCTAAACATGACCAAAATAATTGATTCAACAGAATAACATTTTATAAAAAGGAAAATTATCATATCTACAGTAATGAAATTGATTCATTGGATTAAAAAAAAATGAAAATGTGTTTTCTACCTATAACGCTTATTGTGAACATGTGAACATCAATAAATCGACGTTTTCAAGCTATACTTTAACTGTGATATGTTAAGCCAAGTGTGCATAACTGTTGACATTATATTACGATAGGGAACACAAACTAGGTCCTGTTAAAATTCAGCTTAGAGCTCTTTAACGATTCCCTACACATGATATAGTTGACATGTTTGTACCGTAACATATGAATTAAATCGAGTAATTTTTAGGCATTCACGTTACAGATATATAGCACGAAAACATTTGTATCGGCATTAGAATATAATGCTATGTTTTCATTCATTGTGATATCGACTCAGTCTGGTGATACCCCCTGATTTGTTTATAGTTCCATCACATGAACTGTACCATCAACACAGCCGATCCAAACATGCCCCCACCTGTCTACACACACAGCCGCTGGGTATGTTACTCCATGTCTCTTGTCTAGGAGACACTTGGCCCTTCTCTCATTCCCTGAGAGGACGTATACCTGATTAGTGTTGTAGTCTGGTACAAACACTCTGTCATATCTATCTCGTGCTATATTAAATTGCACCGTCTCATCTAACGTCTGACCATTGTCCAGTTCCCCTTTCCACTTATGTATGATCTGATCAGATTTGTTGATGATAATCATTTCCTTACAATAAAAACATTTTGCGCCAGTGGTGACAGCTATATCTCCTTTTATCATACATACGATACTCAGCCCATTACCTCCACACGAAATTTGTCTGATCCTCTCCCCGGACATGTTCAGTACCTGTATTGTTGTAGTTTCAGTAGTAACGAACACCTCATCATTGTCACTGACATTGATACCATGGCCTTTTAACGGACTGATGTCAGTAAATCTAGTCACTTGTCTGTCCTTGGATAGTTTGTGTATCAGCGGTGAACCACCATTACACGTGATCAGTAGTTCTTCTGTGTTGGTCAATGTCAGACACCACGGGTTAAAGTCAAGCTTGACAGCCTCTGTGACCTTGCCGTTCTTGTTGACTTTAATCAATTCATTAATTCTAATTACTGCCATCCATGCATGAGTGTCGTCAATAGGACATACTGAGTTGATTTGTCTCTTCTGAGGTACTCGGAATGTAAAAATCTTACGAACCTTTTTACTATCAACCTCTTTCTTCTCATACCCGCAGTCTTCATTCTTCAATTTGCTGACATGGATATATCCAATCATTGACTTCATCTGATCTGCGTTGAGTTTCCCAGGCATGAAGTGAGGTGGGCGAGGTAACACGGTCTTTTTAGTAACATCATACAGCGGTATGGTGGTTCTCAGTCTCCCCGTCAGCTCAAACACGGATGTACTAGACATATTTTCTGTGTTTTGCTCTACATCTCTGATAAGTTGTTTGATCTCTTTGATAGTTTGCTCGTTAGATTTGCAGTCCTGTTGATAGGATTTTTCTTCTTCCTCCACCAAGGCCGACAACTCGACCAAGACGGCGTCGGCGATGGAATCAATTTCTGCTTTCAGTTTATGTCTCTGGGTTTGTACAGTTTGTCGGATGACATCCACGCTCTCTTTGACTGACTGGTTCATTTCATGACGTTTTGATAGGTTGTCATTAAAGTGGTCTGACTTGGACTTTAATATTTTCAATTGATCTTGCATGTATTGTTTTTGTGAGCAAATTTCCTCTTCTATACTTTTGAAAGTGTGTTGTTTATGTTTCTCGGTAAGACACATCACACACATAACGATGTCACAGTCACTACAGTACAGGTCACATGTCTTACCTCGATGTGTCTTACATACCTCTGGGAGTTCGGCTTCCACGAGTTTGTTCGCCTCCTTTATTGGTACGACGTCATCATTCCGTGTCTTTCTCGAGCGTTGATGACCCTCAAAACAGTGGTCACATAACGCCTCCTGGCAGTCATTACAGTACCAGTTAACGTCCTGTATGCTTTCACACGAAGCACACGTGTTGGGCACGTGCACCTGGGCGCGGTGGATAGATAATTTACTTGACATTGCTAATAACGCTTAGATACATCCTGTGAAAACTAGCCATATCTTACAGGCGCCATTTGCATTTGTTCTGAATTAAACTTCCTTTTGCAACTGATCGTTATGTTGTTGGAATCACGTGTGTTTGGCTTGTCTAATAGACGCCTATTTAATGTTTACAATAGAGGCCCGCACAAGTTACATAACGTTAACGCAGTGTACTGTGAAGTTGATAGCACGCTACCCATGTTGGTGTATATACACACATAATAAATGGTCGATAAACAATGAATTAACTTAATTTGAATGAGCAATGTATATGTGCGATAGTTTAAGATTGATTGATCCATTTTACGAAATGAAAAAAATACAGAAGAGGAACGTGAAACTAGGTACACGTTACATATGTATTTAACATCCGGTCGGTATATTGTGCACTTATAATTCCTCAATGTACGTTACACGTTATTACAATGACTATAACACAGTCAATTATAGGGTATACTGTCAGTTTACTGTACACATACTTAGACATAATAGTGGATTACATGGTGTTGATTGTAGATAAAAGTTCAACTTTGATTTTAATTTTATTGAAATAAATATTGACCTTACCAAGTTTAATTGTGTCTGTTACGCCTTGCGCGGATATAGCATACCTCCTCCACTTTTGACAAGTGATACACAAAGTGTACCCGTAACCTGGTAATAAACAGGTAACTGGTTACAGGTAAAGCTGCCTTTGTTTTAATTATATCTGCCTGTACAGTACATATATGTTTATGACCGTACATCTACACCTGTCGATTAAGATCGTTTAAAAACAATTTTGGCGCGTGGTATGTCAATAACTGTTTTGTCAGCTATAGGTTTTATGGTTAAATACACCTTTAATTTCACTTTTTGAGTAAACAGTCGATTGTTTTTATTCAAGTCATCAAAACACATTGACCAAGATCCGCTTACAAGAAGTTGTATATGGCACTACATCTCCCCTACCTCCAATACTCTCCCTGTGAAGCGGCGGCAGCTCGGCTTGTAAGAATTACGTATTATATGTAAGTCTGTATCAATGATAGATTATCAATGAAAATGTATATCTAATAAACTTTAATGGTTTCAAAATTAATGTTCAACATATTTAATGGCAAATACGAGGCTGCAGACTACTAATTTTGCCAACTGGAAGTTTATAAGCCAAACCGATAAAGCGGGGAGTAAACACCCCTTGATGTTTTAACCAAATATAATTCCGCCATCGCATATTAAAATCTACTAAATTTGTTTGCAAATTAATAGATCTGAAGATTTCATTCCATAAAAAGCTGTCAAAAAGTTTACCTTAAAAATATTTTAAGTCATCGTATCTAACCGAAAGATAAAGCATGCAGTTAATTATCAACAACTTTGTGTCACTGTCTAGCTCGTACGCTTTAAAGACCGTAATCAAGTAAAAGCAAGCTCTATTCTGTATGCTGCATTAATTAGGTAATAGTATTAATTTGTATGTAATGTTTACTTAATACATGTCTGAAGGGGGTACACATATCTCAACCACACTTTGGTGTACATTTAAAAATAGAAACACCTGTATTGGTGTATGCAAAACAAAACCGACGAAAAACGGTTTATCAACGATTATACACTTTAAACCGTTTTTTTTTTCTAAATATGAGTAGACGGTTTGTGAAACCCTTACAATAATACCCAGTTAAAAAGACATAAATAAAAAAGTAAGAATTACATAATATATTTGCAAACTGTAGTCATGAATCTGCGTATCATTTGTTTGCCCTGATCTTAATAACCAGGTACTATGGATTAGATGTGATGACTAAATATAATCTTCCCCTACCTTGAGGGTGTGACAGAGAAATCTCCAACACGTGGAATGAAGTTTTACCGAGGGTAAGACCAACAAAACAATCACCCCGAGGGTTGAGATTTCTCAGTTACACCCTTAAAGTAGGTGATGATTATTTTTCCCCATTCGATCATTTTAGTAACAGTTTTACAGAAAGTAGAGTAAATGAAAACACATGTGCGGTATGAAGATCGTCAATCACTTTTGATGTCGTCACAATAACCGGTGACACATTTTAATGACGTCACAATTGAACACGCGATTATTGACACGAGGCTATCCCCCCTAGGGGGTGACAAGCTGATCTTTCCCTGCTAAAACGTGAGACACATCTGTGAAGGTAGGGAGAAAATAACATCACTAACTATCTCCGCATAAATACAAAATCGAAGGATGATATACCATACATCTTGTATGTATAAACAAATGTGTTTCGTATAAGAACTTATATATGCCTCAACATTACAATAAAACACGAGCAGTGCCATACAGCTTATAGTGTTTCCGATTTTTATACAAATCGATTTTAAATTCATAATTATATATTCAAGTAAACAGAATCGATAAGAATGCAAAACGATTAAGCGAATGAAATATGCACCAACCCAATTCATTATTAAACTTAACCACTGCCACCCATTTTACCGGACCAGACAAAGAAACACAGGCAAAGAGAACACAAAAGCTAGGACCAACGAGAATACTCGGTATAAGCCATGCTGTAGTGTTGTCTACCATATATTTTATGCTTTTATGATCTCATGTTACAAAAGCTTAACATAAAACCGGAATAATCAAAAGAAAATAAGACCAACCTTTTAATCGTCTGAAAGGTACACAGGTAAACGTATCATACCGGTGTTGATATCACACGGTCAGCTTAAATAGAGAAATATTCATGCAGAACATACTTTAAGAAGATTTTAACGATAACGTAAGAAAGCAGACACCTAGTGGGACGTCGCAGGCTGTCACGTATATTCTGGTTATATCTTGTTTATACACAAAGGAATTTACGTTCTTCACCTTTGACCTGCTTTCAAGCAATGTTGTGTCGATTACTGCCATAATAAAATACCTGCATCTGAGAACTTTACTATGTAAATATACTCTTTTGGAAAGAACAAGAAAAACTTCACGGGTAAACAAAAACGGTGATGTCATATGGACGACCTATTGTAACCTGACAAGATAAGTATGGTCTGTGTTGCATTATATCATTCAAACGTTGCCTCCAACCCTTATTTAAGCTGACACTAATACAAGCAAGGTACAACTTCATGTGACACGGTAGATAATCTTGCATATTCCGATGATACTTCTGCTTCCGGAAAAATAAAAAAAGTCTTCACCTTTGACCTGCTGTCCAGCTATAGGATATAGATACCCGTCGTTGTTATTGACTTGTATTTCATAATTTTGATTACTAGCTTGCACACTGTCTCGAATTCGACATTATACCCATTGATAATTGAAACCACATGTGGCATAAGACCTGTTTTACTTCTAGCATATTGACTGTTATCTTTATCAGTACGTCGCGGTTGTCTACTGTTGGTTTTGTTGTGGTTGTTTTCTATTTGTCTTTTTGTTTATAGTTTTTTACTCTAGTTATGAGTATTGCAACACTTGGAATCTTTATCTATTATTTGCTCAAATTCGTACATTTTCTGCTCAGCAAAGTCTCCTTAAGGACCCTCTGCATATGACCTTAGTCGTGATGAGGACGTAAACATATCTCCGTAGCCCGACATTTCATCTGCATCACAAAGACGATGTATCTATTATTCACTGAAGCGCTGAAGACATGGGTATGTTGCTGGGAGTATGAGATATAAGCAGTATCTACGTTTTATGTCGACCCGACACGGATGGTAAATGTTACATAGACAAGCTGTAACAGACACGTGCATTGGAGACCCAACGTAAATAGGCCGACACATGAAACTACCGGGATATTAACAATGTAGTAATTAAAACCGATATTTGGGATCCTATACAATGGTCATGGAAATAGAAACTAAGATGATAGCGCCTTTGAGGTATATCTAGTGATCAGTAAACCTACAAAGTCAAAGATATGCTGTAGTGCATTTTGTGGTATGATAAGGCAGTTGGGAAATCCAAAGCATAATATTTAAAACACTTGGAATACATTGATGAAAATGTGACAAATACATATTACTACTATATGAGCATCCGGTAGTTATGGCTCCGTTAATCCTGAATTTACCCCGAAGATCTGTTAACTTACAAAGTCAAACATATTCTGTAGTGCAATTTGTGATAGTTTCAGGCAGTTGAACCAAACAATAATATTTAAAACTTGAAGACAATGTAATAATTACATGATATTACCGTATGTACATCCGGTAGTTATTGCTCCGTTTTTATTGACTTTGTCCCGAGTTCAATAACAAAGGGATATTGATTACATGCGATAACAATAGGAATACAACACATCAACATACAGAGTTACACTATACAGTAAACAAAAGTGCATGTTTTGTAAATAGTACGCATTAAGTAACAGCAGATTTGTATACTATTGCCCGAACATATATCATTATTATTTCAAATTTTCACCCTGATACGAATGCACAATCAGTGTTACTTATAAGAAGGCAAATTCGGATTAACGAACTTAAATAATAACACGCTTTTAGCTTGAGGTTTCCCTTTTATCTATATAGTGCAATGCCATGATATAGGATTTTTCTGGAATGTATTTTTTTCTTGATTTGTTTGTATACAACTTTGGCTCAGGAAAGCATTTGTTTTAGTACTGTATATAAGATAGAACTAATGAAGCTATTGCCCTTTTTATAAAACAAAGAATGCGAATTACTTTATTGAAGTCGTGTTATTGATCCAATTTTCATAAAAAAAATAAAGTTAGGAAGACTTTCATGAGTAGTCCTCATGAACGTCTTTGTGGCGTTTTTGGCAACCCCACTTGGGCTAGCTGTTATAGTTTGTAGTAGTGGCTGCCATACGTGTGTGGTGGCAGCTACTGGGTTATTCAATATTTCATATAATTTTCCATATATTATTGACTTTATGCTAAGAGCCCTAGTGTGGCTCTATTGCTATTAATTAATTCATTGTCACCAATTTCGTGGCAATTTTCATCATATCGTTGTCCGAGATTTGCTTGTTATGAGTGCATGGGCATAAACAAACTTACCACATTTTCTCATATCACATTACAGTTACTGATATCCCCACCTGACAGTATAACATTGATATGAAATGTGATGTAAATGAAACCATGGTACT